TGAAGGAAGATTCAAACACATTAGCAGGAGCGCCGGGCTGATAGCGGTGAAGAGCAGTGCCCACACTCTCCGCCTCATGTGACAGGATATTCTTAGACGTGAGGTGCTGTGAATATTTGACACTATCACATGTACAATCTTAATTAACATGGAGGGGGTAAAAATGTTGGAGGGTTATTAGGTGGTACCATCATGTGGTGACGCCTCTGACCTGGAAATAGGTCAGTATGTCTGTACTGTGGATGACGACCGCACGGACAAGGAGCAGCTGATGGTTAGGGTTCAGAGTCGTACGTAGTACGTTGAAGTTTTACTCCGTAATCAGAGCGCGGCCAGGAGGCCAGAGGTTTACTCTTGTTCAGTATTTAGTATTTAAAGGGAGGGTGAGGGTTCTCCGCCGCCACCGCAGCCACATGTAGTGAGAGGGAAACAGGAAACACATCCACGTGACCTTGATGATGAGAGCACAGATCAGCTGCTCACTGGTCAGACATGTTCACGGGTGAAACAACATGGAACTCCACAGTCCACAGTGGATGAACTCTTCAGTTTCACCTGCTGCCGTTCATCGTTAGCCACGAAGAACAGAGAGTAAAACACATTCAGTGTCTCTGTAACGCTGCTTCTGTCCCGTTCTGTTGGAGACACAGATGCAGACCCTGATTTGTTGTGGCGACACAAGGTCTCAGCGGGGATAAATGTCAGGCAAATGATTGTGAAAGATGAGGGGGAAGCCAGACCCATAACAAACCCCCTGCCTTTTACTGCCGCACCATGTGACTGGTGCCATGATGTATGACAGTAAGTACGCACTCATTTTACCATGAAATGCTCGTAAATATACGGTGGGAGGATTATCATCAATAGTCATTTCATGGTTTATTTTCACATCCTAGGTGGCGCCGGTTAATTGGCGTGAAGCCAGATAAACGCACTAAAAGCTGAGAAATCAAATCTCGATAATAATAACGACGCCCTCTCGGTACAAAGAGCTCCACGCCTCAGTCGTTTATTTTCACTGTTTGGTTCTTTTTGTGTTGTTTTCTGTCGTGTTTCAGTCTTTCCCACACAGCTCCACTGTAAAGGGTTATGAATGAAGGAACGACACGGAGAATAGTAGCATTCTCTAAACTGACACACTCTTTTTTCCTTGAAATAAATGTGAGTAAACATGTTGCCTATTTGTCATTTGCTTTGACTTACTTTATTACGCCTCCTGCTGGCTGGGCACACAAACAAATCAGACTAAAAACTCCTGGTCCATGATGTCTCCTAAATCACCTCCACCGTAGTGGTTGTGTTGGTCTATTAATAACTGGACTAAAAGCACAGATTAAAGCTGCTGAGTTTTTTGTTTTTTTTTGTTTGCTATAATTTGTACTTTTTCCTTTAATCTTCGTCAGTAGGACAGCGTGTCCCTGGGAGCCTCGGCAACATGACAAAGGTGCAGACAAATCCCTGTGTTCTCCATGAGCGCAGCTAAGCATGTGTACACAAGGTGGCAGCAGCTGGTGATTCACAACAGTCAAAGACTGACACCACGGTGAGAAGTTGATCGAACGACTCATGGTCATCACGACCTCACAGAGGAAGTCACAGTATACACTAGTACCACATACAGTAGTACTGTGGTAGTACTACTACACACTGTACAGTGAACAGATGCCAAGAGAGAAGAGAACCTCTGTAGTACTCTGTAGTACTCTGTAGTACTCTGTAGTACTCTGTAGTACCAGCTCTGTCGTTTGTTACCAAATACTGACATATACTGTAGACACACGTGGACTAGTCTGACAGAGTCCAACATGAGTCGACGAGTGGTTTGATGACATCATCAGATTGAGACGTCCAGCCAATAGAAACTATAACTGACTGTAACTGTCTAGTCTGTTGTTAATGGAGAGACCGCAGCGGTCAGTTGTTCTGTCATTTAACCAACATGTACTGATCCACTGAGCCAACGCGCCGCAGCAACAGATGTGTTTGTTCTTGTGTCTCATTGTCCTCACGGCGGTGGACACTGAAGGAGGTCACCAAGGTCAGCAGCTTGGATGTGTTCAGCTCCACCATGATCTCCTGTCTTTGTTCCTGATCGGTGCTGCATCCCTTTAATTAGAGCCGCGTTAAATGAGACTAAACCCTCCTCTCATTTTGTAATGTCAGTAATTATCCAAAGGTACGGTGGTCGAACTCTCAAGAACTTCAGAGAGACAACACAGGACAATGGACAACAAATGATCCACGTGTGATTGACAGCTGGACAGACAATGACAATGACGGTAAGGTCATGGTCACAGCCCACTTAACCACATCCTGATCAGACGTTCAAACCAGTTTGGTCATTTACTCATAAATACATTTGTTGACGTGTGTTTTTCTCCACACAGAGATAATAACTTTGTTCATAAAGAAGGCTTCAGCTCCATATACAGTATAGATATAGACGTGTTTTTACTCATAACTCATATCAAATATAATGTGATATCCAGGCTGTAGTAAAGCCATTTTGCCGCTGCTGCAACAAACAATCTAAATGATGCAATATACACACACAAGTTTAGATGATTTTTTTTTTTACCTGGAGAGTCCTGTGAGACACAGCGACAGGATTGAGTCATCTGCACCGACGGACTTTCTATCTGCAGTTTACACTTCGACACCGCGCGGTGGTTCAAAACAACACAAGAAAAAACTCATCCTAACGACAGAGAAGACTCAGAGATGAAAACGGCCTCAGGTTTTCTATGTTCCCAGATGTTACATTCAAAGTGTCATGTTGTTGGGTGTTGTTGGGTGTTGTTGGGTGTTGTTGGGTGTTGTTGGTTGTTGTTGGTTGTTGTTTTTATTTAAAAAATGAACATTGCTGTGAGCAATAAGTTGCCCAACTTATCAAATGATGTAAAAAAATATTTTGTGAACAAAACGTCCTCAACTAAAAACGTTGTTTTAATGTTTAAACATCTCCAAATAATTAGAGTTCTTTTATTTAAATCAAGCCAAATGTTAAATCCCTTCTGAAATCATTTAAAGTTTCCAAACCTTTTCCACTCATTTGACCTTTCACCTTTGTGTCAACATCATCTCTACATTACACCAAATTATAATGCATTTTTCTTCCTTAGGAAAACCACTTTGTATTCCATGGGTCAAGGTGGGGCTGAACGTCTGCCCGTGGGTCACAGGTGTAAAGGATTCTGGACACTGGAAACCCATTTGACAAGCTGACAGCCGGCACATTAGGTGTGATGTGATTGTGGCCGTACGGCCGGTGGTGAGAACACAGTCGGCCTGTAGTGACTGTTAGAGTCCCTGCTAAAACGTCTGTACAGACGTTGACACTGCTGAGGCATCAATACAACCTGAAGGTGGCGCTTCAAGCTTTTATGACCTGGATTAAACACTAGTTTACTCAGATATTTCATCTCACTTTTCTCTCTCACTGTAGCAGTGAACGGAAACAACAACAACAACAACAACAATTTTCTCATTCAGATTCCTGACTAAGATCATTTTAGTGTGGAGTCACTGCAGTCCTTTAAAGTTCGAAAAGAAAGATTTTTTTTACCTTCTCTCTTTTTGTTGTTTTATTCGTTCCAGATTCCAGATGAACTCTTATTATTTCATTTTTATTTCTTTCTCCGTCTCCGTCTCTGACTCCTTCAGTCTGAGCTCACTCTCTTCACATCATCACATCATCAAACCTCAGGAGCTGCACTAGTCCAGTTAACCACAGTCACAGGTTTCTTGATGACCTCACACTAATTAAAAACTCACCATTTTACTCCCTGGTTTTACAGGAAAACAACTTCAATAAAGTCTTTATAGAGACGTGACACGATGAAATGATCTAATTAGACGGTCAACGTCCTCACACTGAGATTAACAATAGATAATCTGTCAGAAATGTGGGAGTTTCCACTCATCGCATATGAGCTAAAAGCAGCTAACTGAGGCTAACAAAATGTCACCGTCAGGAGGAAGTCGTCGCCTTTACAGTTTGCAGCCGAATTAACAGTTTAGTTTCAACAGTTTAGTTTTAACAGTTTAGTTTCAACAGTTTAGTTTCAACAGTCCGTTCAAATGTTGTCGTTACCACGGAGCTTCAGCGAGTGAATACGTTAGCGCTCAAGCTACATCTCAGCATCTGGGTTATTATCTGTGGAATAGTGATTCCTGATTCCAGAACAAAAAATCACAAATATCCATTTCTTGCGTCTCAAGTTGACAGAAATAGTTCGTGTGAAGACGAACCGACTCTGACAGGAGTTCGTACGTCATTTATTTATAAGTGGGAAAAAGGATTGTTTTCAAGGTCCCTGTCATAACTAAAGCACAGACATAAAATGCCTCAATAATGTTAAAAGCACAGACAGGATGTAGTTCACCTTACTTCAGTACAGACAGAGTGGTTCAGTCCTCGTCACGTACCATTGATCCAGGTTTTCATAGCAGATACGAACGACAACAAACTGGTTGGATTTCTGGATAAAAGTAAAACAATTACTGTAGTGGTCCAACAGGTGTCATCACACGGTGCGTTTCTACTGCCCCCTGTGGCATATGTCACACGAGCCCAGCCAGACGGAGCGGCTGCTCACACGTCTACACCACAGTGTTTCAAACAGGCCACGGTCTAACAGTACGGACGCATTAGAACGTGGCGGCGTGAGAAGAAGGCATGTGTTTCCTGCTGGGGACGACGGTGGAGGTGAGAAACACGACGCAGCAACGGCTGCTGCAGAGAAGGCAGAGCAAAAGAGTTTCTCTTCACTGTGTTTTTCCATCACTAAAAATTCAGAGACTTAACGTTGTCAAACCGAGCCTTGACTCAGTCCACTGAGGAAGAATGATGTTTACATGTCATCAGGGTTCGACTGGAGAACTGAGGTGGAGCATGAACCAGAACGACCGGTAAACACCTCAACCACACGACAATAAGACTGAAGAACAGAGCAGTGACATGGAAAGACAGAACAGATCAAGTAGATCAAGATACGAACCTTTAACAATCAGGTTGAGAAGCTTTGGCCGTGGGTTGCGCTCACTCTGGATGGAACAGGTGTACTGGCCGTCGTCGCTCACGTCCACCCTCTGTATCTGGAGGCTGTACTCGTGTTTGTCGGCGATGTTGGACACGATGGACACTCGTGGGTCCGCAGACCACCCCCTGGAAGTGGGATGCTGGGCCTGTTCAGCCAGGCTCCTTTGGAGATGCCATCCAGTAGGTAGCACCTGGGGGGAGAGGAGGGGCAGTGGTTATGTCTGTGTGGAAACCACGGGGTAAATAAAGCTGCAGGTTTATAGACACGTCTAAGATCGGCAGCTCCGTCGTCATGTTTGAACAGATCTGGATTGTCTGAAACCTGTCTATCAAATGGAAAGAAGATCAGTGGTTCAAGCCCCAGATAGAACTCATGTATATACCCCCCCACCCCCCA